ACTTATGCTGTTCGCGATTATCACGTTTTCGTTTACGTCTTGTTTTTTAATAGTAATATTCTCGTGACTTATATTTTCGTCGTTTTTTATAAGTAGTACACAATTGATACGCGGCGGTAGTATAATTTCTTTGAAACCCGTTTTTTTCGGGTATCGTTAATAAATTTCGGCTATAGTCCATTATGACTTTGTTTTGTTTCAAAAAGTTACGCCCGATGATGCCTGACTCGTTTATTGGGAAATCGCCAAAAACTACGTCGAATTTAATAAGCACCTCTACATCGTTAATTTCCATACTGGTTAGAATTGTGCCTACGGTGAATATCGGAATTTCGTTAATGCCTTTAATTGTGCGTTTCGCGGATTCGTTTACCACGACGTGTCCCTCTAACGCGGTTATTTTAATAAGGTTCATTTCCGCGCCGGAATCAACTAATAATTTAATTTTATGAGGTTTGAAATTATCCGATGCACATATTATATGTTCCTCTTCGAAATTAGCTACAACTCTTACATGATTTTGGTTGATTTCGTTTACTGTACGGCTGGTACTAGGAATTTCACTTTCCTTGTTACTCGTTTTTGTACTCTCGTTATAAATCCGCTTCCTACAATCTTTTATATTGTGGTTTGTTTTCTTACAGTACGAGCAGAATCTAACTTGACCTTGGTATTCGTGTTTTACTACACTGGTTTTATCGTCACGACTGCTAACGGGATTTCTAAAATTTGTGCTGTATGAGGTACCGGCGTTACTGCGGCACTCGTTTGCATAGTGACCCATTTTGCTGCATTTATTACACTTAATATTTTTTTTATTCGCGTTATTTTTCCCGTAAGTTTTTTTCTGAATTAAAACGTCTATTAACGTGTTGGAGGTCTTGTTCCTCCTCAATAGCGATAGTAATGGCTTGCTCGAGAGATGATACGGCGCGTGCTCGTAAAAATGACCTAATTGCTGGTTTCGCCCCGTTAACAAATGCAGTAAGTGCCCCTACTTTATGCGATGAAGCTACAGCTGCGGCTGCTGCTGGTTCTAGTCCTAATGTTAACGCTCCTACCAATTCGTGATAACATTTTTCGGTTCGACCGGCAAAACTACGTACGTCCTCGTCGGATCGTTGTCGACTATTACTAAGTTGCGATTGCAAGTAATTAATCGAATGCGGTGCCCCAAAAACGTTTCTAAGGTGGTTTTTAAGCTCTGACCAGTTTTCAAATTTTCGGTAACGAGTGGCCTGGTATGCGTCTCCCTTTAATTTAGATAATATATTGTGAAATACTACGGTTACAAGATTTTCATGGATATTTTCCATTACATAGTTACATTCGGTTATATATAAGGCTAGTTCTACCTCGGAACCCCCGCTAAAGTTAGGTATGCCGCGCAAGGCGGAGTCAATCCCTAATGTTACGCTCATGACTGTCGTTTGTAAAGTTTGCGGGTTATATTTAACTACTGCCCAACACCTTGGACTCTCAGACATATACTATATAATTGTTTAAAATGACAACTTACAGTGCAAAATCCATTGTATTCTTGTCTGGTCCTAACTGCTTGCGTGCTGACGGCTCTGTGGACTCGTCGTTGATGCTCCGCTTGGCTAGTTGAGTGAAGTTGGAATGTTGCTTGAAGTTGGTGGCTTGGCTCGGCTTGCTTCCTTCCTAGGTAACAGCAACGTGAATAAATTCGAGGTCCGCTGATGTACTTGACTCCAGGTTGGTTGCTGGAATTCTTCCTTCAGGTGACCCCACACCTGACACCAAAAACGTGTAGTGATCCCTCACTAACGCTTATATTTTGAGTTTGACGACGTTGATGATTGAGTAGGAGAAAAGGTTACAGAGTTACAAGTTACAACGTTATAATTTAAGTAATTTATTTTAAAGTTAATAATAATATAATGGTATTACATTTGAATATAGAAATTTGAGGACAGAGCGATAAGCGTCTGCCCGAGAGATTAGTGGTGAATACTTAGTACTTACAAGTATGTACGTCGTACTAGCACTGAACTAATTCTAATTTAAATACAGACGGAGACTCGTATATATACAAAGTCTCCCTAGGTTATTAGGTACACGGTAGAGACTCGGAGGTGGATCAAAGGAATACCGGCGGTATGAAAGGTACCGGCGTAAATGTTAAAAGTTGTCGAATAAACCTTGAGTTGTGAACTGGTTTATTTGGCAATATGTATTATTAGAAATCGTTATGCGATTTTTAAATATGTAATAAATCAGGGGGTGGTATAGTCGTTGATCAATATATCATATAGTGCAAAGTCCTTATGATGTATAATTATAGGAAAGCGACTCTGTCGGTTTACTACAGCAGTGATCGAAATAAAGGGGCTGATTAGTTAACTACGTTACAGTCTCTCGTATTTTATGTATACTTAATAGTTAATATGTATGAACCTTTAATTATATAATACCTACTTATAAATTATAGTAGGTATTACTGTATTAGTGTCCATCTAGTGTCTACTAATATATTTTAAATTAAATTCATATTATGTATTGTTTTTAAATTATCTGTTTTACAATCATTTAGAGTAAATTTTTGGCTTTCATTTGTAAAAAAAAAAGGTTCTACCACCATAAGAAACTTTTTATAAATGGTATAAAAATTTCCCAAAATAAGAATTTGAATAAATTTACAACCATACGAAAAAATGTGGATAAGAACGTTTGGTCAATAACTCTATATATAAATTAATATACTTAAATTAATAGGTAAAATATTTCTGACGGATATACCACATAAAATTACATTTTTGTTTTTTTATACAGGGACCTCTGGTACCTATTATCAAATAATATGTAGGTATAATATAATATTAAAAATTTAGCTCAGATATGGCGTCAAACTACAGATACCTAAAGTAAATCTAATCTTTGGTTAGAATGGCAAAAAATAAAATTGTCCCACAAAATTCCTCAAGTTACGCCAATAGTGGGGTATCTACCCATCAATGTAAAACATTATAAAGCTTCGCACGACGCTGTGGAAAGCTGTCAGTACCACGGTTCATTTGCACACACAATTATCCAACGGGAAAAAGCTGAAAACTCTCTCAACGTACAAAATTTTATAATTTTAGTAGTATTTTACACGGTTCCATGTCTTTACGCCGACGGGATCAACGCCGACGGTATCTACGCCGACGGCATCGACGCCGACGGCATCGACGCCGACGGTATCTACGCCGACGGCATCTACGCCGACGGCATCTACGCCGACGGCATCTACGCCGACGGCATCTACGCCGACTAGCATCTACGCCGACGGCAACTACGCCGACTAGTATCTACGCCGACGGCAACTACGCCGACGAGTATCTACGCCGATAGTAAATACGCCGATGGTATGTTTTTTTACAAAACGAATGTATTTCTATGGGACTAATATAAGAATAAAAATTAACTAATATGAAACTGAAAATTTTTGAAAATTAATTATGTTGTTAAATAATTAAAAATAAAATACGTAACTCGTTGTTGCCTAGTTTTTTTTAATAATAAATATTTTTTGGCTCTGAGAAGAGCCTTTTTATGCACTAAAAAGGACATTTTTTAAAACGACGAGTGCCCCCTAAACTTAGCAATTTAGCAAGATTGGAATTGAAAATTATGAGCAATTCCCTGCAAATAATCGGAGGTATCGCGATTCCCATAGTCTTCAACGATTTCTTTAATTCGCAATGCTGTGTCTCGATAACACCGTCGTCCCTGTGCTGGTGGTAATCCAGCAATGTACTGGTTGATTTGGAATTCATTTAGGCTCTGCTGATTTTGCAGACCCTCAATGAATTTCCAAATAGATGGATGATTTGCTCCTAAAAGAGAGCTGAATCCTCGATGCCAGCCTTCAACGGCGTTGTTAGTTTTGGGTAGATCATTCAACGATGCCTCGTAACAATTCCAGAGGCTCAGCTTAAATTTAGGAAGCATTCTTCCAAGGCCGGTTCGTCGGGGCTTTCCAATCCACGTGGACTCAAAATAATCTACCAAATCTGACATCAGGTCTTCGTTATCCGTATAAAATGTTGTGCGGAGGAGTCTTTCAAAACAATTAACTACGTCGGGCTCTGGAACAAATGCAAGAGCGGCCAACTTTCGCACGTTCAATGCAAAGTCCGGATCATCCTTATCCTCGTATTTGGATCGAATGTCAGCGATTGTCTGAATTTTTCTCCAAATGCATTGACTGAAGTGAAAAAAACAACCTCTGTTACTGATGTCTGGAAAATTATGGGAAAAAGCGTTTATCTGGGCATTTTCAAAATCAGTCATAACACTGACTGGATACAGCCCTGGTTTAAGCAGCTTCAGTTGATCCAATACACGAGAATACGTATCTTGACATTTATCCGGCAACAGTGCGTAAACCGTTGGCAGAACGTTATTATACTTAATCGCGTGTATTGTAAAAACTTGCTTAAACAATGGCGGTGACGTTTTAAATGTACCATCAGCGTACCAATGGTCACATGTCGCCATCAAATCCAAATTCTTTTGCGTTCTAAAGATAATGTGATTTCCGCCACATCTGGGACATGGTTATGCTTGTCATTTTCAAAAATGACAATGTCTTCAGCTGTCCATACTCGCCCCAGACACTTGTGTCTATTATAATGAACACATTTCCAAATGTGTTTGTCTTCTTTGATTTTGTCCGTGGTATACACAAAACCTTTATTGACCAACTGTTGGTTGCCTTTCTGGCTTAAAACAAATTCAAGTGGCATGGTTGCTTATGACTTGTTACCAGACCGAATGTTAGAATCGAAATGACCGATCATTAAACCGGCACCAGTATATATACGGGTTACGCAGGTAAAACCGACCAATGAGATTTACCATTAAGCAGGTAAACCACGAACGAATGCTCATTGGTCGGTTTTAACTGCGTAACCCGTATATATACTGGTGCCGGTTTAATGATCGGTCATTTCGATTCTAACATTCGGTCTGGTAACAAGTCATAAGCAACCATGCCACTTGAATTTGTTTTAAGCCAGAAAGGCAACCAACAGTTGGTCAATAAAGGTTTTGTGTATACCACGGACAAAATCAAAGAAGACAAACACATTTGGAAATGTGTTCATTATAATAGACACAAGTGTCTGGGGCGAGTATGGACAGCTGAAGACATTGTCATTTTTGAAAATGACAAGCATAACCATGTCCCAGATGTGGCGGAAATCACATTATCTTTAGAACGCAAAAGAATTTGGATTTGATGGCGACATGTGACCATTGGTACGCTGATGGTACATTTAAAACGTCACCGCCATTGTTTAAGCAAGTTTTTACAATACACGCGATTAAGTATAATAACGTTCTGCCAACGGTTTACGCACTGTTGCCGGATAAATGTCAAGATACGTATTCTCGTGTATTGGATCAACTGAAGCTGCTTAAACCAGGGCTGTATCCAGTCAGTGTTATGACTGATTTTGAAAATGCCCAGATAAACGCTTTTTCCCATAATTTTCCAGACATCAGTAACAGAGGTTGTTTTTTTCACTTCAGTCAATGCATTTGGAGAAAAATTCAGACAATCGCTGACATTCGATCCAAATACGAGGATAAGGATGATCCGGACTTTGCATTGAACGTGCGAAAGTTGGCCGCTCTTGCATTTGTTCCAGAGCCCGACGTAGTTAATTGTTTTGAAAGACTCCTCCGCACAACATTTTATACGGATAACGAAGACCTGATGTCAGATTTGGTAGATTATTTTGAGTCCACGTGGATTGGAAAGCCCCGACGAACCGGCCTTGGAAGAATGCTTCCTAAATTTAAGCTGAGCCTCTGGAATTGTTACGAGGCATCGTTGAATGATCTACCCAAAACTAACAACGCCGTTGAAGGCTGGCATCGAGGATTCAGCTCTCTTTTAGGAGCAAATCATCCATCTATTTGGAAATTCATTGAGGGTCTGCAAAATCAGCAGAGCCTAAATGAATTCCAAATCAACCAGTACATTGCTGGATTACCACCAGCACAGGGACGACGGTGTTATCGAGACACAGCATTGCGAATTAAAGAAATCGTTGAAGACTATGGGAATCGCGATACCTCCGATTATTTGCAGGGAATTGCTCATAATTTTCAATTCCAATCTTGCTAAATGGCTAAGTTTAGGGGGCACTCGTCGTTTTAAAAAATGTCCTTTTTAGGGCATAAAAAGGCTCTTCTCAGAGCCAAAAAATATTTATTATTAAAAAAAACTAGGCAACAACGAGTTACGTATTTTATTTTTAATTATTTAACAACATAATTAATTTTCAAAAATTTTCAGTTTCATATTAGTTAATTTTTATTCTTATATTAGTCCCATAGAAATACATTCGTTTTGTAAAAAAACATACCATCGGCGTATTTACTATCGGCGTAGATACTCGTCAGCGTAGTTGCCGTCGGCGTAGATACTAGTCGGCGTAGTTGCCGTCGGCGTAGATGCTAGTCGGCGTAGATGCCGTCGGCGTAGATTCCGTCGGCGTAGATGCCGTCGGCGTAAATGCCGTCGGCGTAGATACCGTCGGCGTCGATGCCGTCGGCGTAGATACCGTCGGCGTCGATGCCGTCGGCGTAGATACCGTCGGCGTCGATGCTATCGGCGTAAAGCATGATACCATTTTACACCAGTGGCGCCCAACCCTATTACTAGGTGTAGCGGTCGCTATACCTTGAAAATAAGGGGTGGGTAGGTATAATAACATAAAATAATTAACTTGAAATATGTTCATTATTAGTCACAGATTATATTGATTGATACCTCAATATTTACTAATATTATCAATTAAAATATGATAAAATGTATGAATAAAATAATATAATTTTGATTTCGTGAGGAGGCGGGTAAAATTATTTCTTGCTACACCTGAAAAATATATCTTGGGCGCCACTGTACCTTAATATATATAATATATTATATATAAAGCTGGTATATAAACTGCTGTCGCGTTGCTGTATTATCTCGCACATTACGTGGAGGCGGAACGGTTAGGCCCGGACGATTCCAAAGTCACGATTTGCTCCGACCGGAAATCGAGATCGAAGGTTTTTTGCTTCTCATTCTTCTTCTTCTACTTGTACTTCTTTTGACGACGGTGTCGCCGACGGGTAAGGGGAAGGTGGGGTGTCGGAGAAACGTGCTCGTGCAAAACTTAGGACCCTCTGGCCACGGGAAAAACGGTTCAATAGACGCGCCAATGAACCGATGCCGTCGGACGAAGACGCCAGTATATACGTACAATATATATATATTACATATATTATTATTATAGTTATTTGCTGACGTTCTTCACCACGGCCGGCCGAGACTGATAGTGTTTCATACATGAACACACACACACACATATATATATATATATATATATATCACTGCAGTATACATATAGTATAATAAGGTGCAGTCTTCGATGTGTCGAGTACACGATTTTCTCAAAATCAGTTTCACACATTTTGTACTCCGTGATCGTCGATCTAAAACTTTCAGCCGGTTCTGTGCTCCGTATATATTGTACAGCAGAATTATAATATGGCACCACGTGACTGCGGTGGTGTAAAGAGGTGATGGTACAAAGTATAAACGTGTGAAATATAATATAATTATTTGTATCATTCAATATTATATTTGTGTAAAAATGTCCATCCACCGACGACGAAGATAATGATATAACTATTATTATGGTAATATTATATTAATTATCGGCTGCTGCAGCACGATGCGTACATCAACAAGTGCATTTGTATACGATTCATATCTGTCGTCGTTTTACTCGATCGCTGCACAGTAAATCTATTTTGCCGCCAAAGATCACCCAAAATTGAGTGTCAAATTCAATTGCTCATATAGCAGAACTCACTCTTATACGGATTTCAGCTTACCGAGGATTTTTATTACCGAAAACGTCTACTTTCGTGATAAATAAAATTGCCCATTTACCGCATTACGTGATACAATAAACATCATCGCTAGTGAACTCACCAATACACTATAATTAACAGCCATCTCTTGAAATAGTAAAGTACTATTTTGTATATAATAATTACTATACATTTATAAACCAAACGTGAATTATTATTGATACAAACCTCATACACGGATGCTCTAACCCCCCACCTACGAACAACTTATCCATAAGAAATAAAAAACCTTCTCTGGATGACTGGATATCAAACTATAATATCATAACAATAGATACTAATAACCACTTTGTACTATGTTTATTATCTATATTCAGATCCGTTCGAAATATTTGACGTAGTGTATCTATTACCTATCGGCTATTGTAACGTGGTATTCATATCAAATTTAATTCTAAATGTTCAAACAGAAATACTTGATATTTAAATCAGGGACTGGAACCTCACCGAAAAGAACCGGATTTAGAACCCTTGGAATATTTTGAACCGAAACTTCACCCAAACCCTTATTTTAATTAATTTTAATACCGGAACCTCACCGAAACCCATATTTAAATTAATTTAAAAACCTGAACCTTAAAACGGAACCGACACTTTTACTTGACAAATTTTTTTACATAAGTAAGAAACCAAATCTGGTAACATTTATTTTATTTTTAATAACTGAAAAAAAAAATCGAAACATAAATGTTGGTTTTTCTGAGAACCGAATAGGAACCGATACTGAAATTTTAGTTATACTTTGAACCGAGTAGGAATTGGAACCATAAAAATCATCAAGGTTAAAGTCCCTGATTTAAATAACACAATTTACTCATCGGCATAGGCGCAATTTCAACTTTTGATTTGGAGGGGCTTAGCCCCCTCCCCCAAAGGCCCCCCCATTTAACCAAAAATTTAAGTATTCAAATTATACGCACCATAGTCTTAAACATTTTCAAACATCAATACTGCAATAATAACAACACCGACTATCGAATCTATAAGCAATAGGTAATGCATTCAATCAATAATTATAGATATTTTTGTGTGTGTTATGTAGAGCCAAGCTGACGTATAATAAATAATAAACTGATTTGATTATTTTACAAAAGGATTAACTGCCATATTATGCCTGTATAAGTTCTTATGATGCCATTAACAAGATTCTCACATCAGAGGAAAGGTTTACAATTATATAAATTACAACGATAACAATTAGATAAACATTTTCTTGCACAAATCAATATAATTATAATATTTAATCTATCAATTTATCATTTTTTTTTTGTTTATGTTAGTCTATATTTTACTCATCAATCTAAGTATAGTATTTGTCGAATGATAAAAATCATTTTAGGACATCATGATATTCATAATAATTTATACCTACCTACGTCCTCATATAAAAGAATTGCAGGCCTGCTATAAGCAAAATAAAGAATATTATGTGAAATAGTTTAATAAAATTAAAATCACCATTCAAATTTAAAAAAATGGTATTATATGAAGTATAATGTTTTATTTATAAAATATATGAATGACAAATAAATTTATGATTTGATTATTGTACCCCTAAAATAAGTTTTAGTTTTGGAGACGTGAAATATTATGACTGGTGGCAATCTGATCATAACTACAGGTTATCTAAATAAAAATATTTATTTTATTAATGGATGCTTAAAATATAATTTATATTTTTTATCTTAAATTACGTGTCCAACTCCTTAAAAAGAAAAAAAAGGTACCTACTTAGTATTATGCCTATTACTGTTTGCTAATATGTAATCTTAATATACTATTAAACAAAAAAGTGTTGCTATAACTGCGAATTTCAATCTTAAGTTTACAAGTTTACTAGGAAATGATCGAAGCGATTTTAAATATTTTTTTTTCAGCTGTGATATCCAAGAATAAAAATATCGAAAAAAAATTATATTTTTGTATTTATATTATTCATTATGACACTAACAATAATTGAAATATTCAAAATCACCTCGATCATTCCCTAGTAAACTTGTTGATGAATCATAATCCGTTTTCAAAATTAAGATCTGTGAAACTAAATTCTTCCAGTTCTATCTAGCTTATTGGTCTAAATGTCACTTTTTTTTCATTGACTAGAGACCCCTCAAGCCTCCTTGAGGTTTATTTTATGATACGGAATTTAAATATATTGAAAAACATTATAACAAACAAAATTAATGTTTAGATTGGTCAAATCTACATTAGTTTTGACTTTTGCCAAAACCTGCTGCAGCCCCCTTAAATCACAACGGATTAAAATGCATTGTTGTAGAAACGTTAAGCTAATTATATAATGTGAGTTATGAGATTGGTGATACGTTTTCCTGTGTTTCTGCCTAATCTTCAGAACAGAAATATGATGAACATGGCCGAATAAGCATACAGGGAAACGGGAATTTCCTATAGACCTTACTCCGTTTTGGGCAATGGGGAAATTTTTCATATTTTTACGGAATAGCCCAACCTAACCTTGATGGTAGAATGTATGGATATGTTACCGTCAATGTCGTAAATTCAGGTAATGATGATATTGACTAGCCAATTAATATAATGCCTGGGTAACTTGGTCATTATCTATAATCAACATATATTTGTAACATTGACTTGATAAATCAGACGATGTTATAATTTGATAAATTCACTAGTTATTCTAACATATCCTATCGTCGTGTAGTCAATGTTATCTTTTATCGTTTTAACTTTAAAAACCCACGTTAAGATTAGGTATCTGTTTTATAACGAATAATAATAGGTATCTTTTATAGTTTTAATACTCACGGCAACTAACCTAACATAAGTATTGTTACAGTCTACGTTGTACTTTCGTATAATATAGTTTATAGTTTCATAATATAGTTTTTCGTTTCGAAAAGTGTTGAATTGTATTATTAAAAAAAATGAATTTAAATGAAATGCGTCAAAAATTTTACAACGCATTATCTAATTTATTGAAAAATAAACGTGAAGATAATAAATCATTTTTAAACAAAGTGGAATATATTATGTTAAGATTGCAAGAAGTTAAATTAGCTAAGGAAAAAATTGGGAAGAAAAGTGCAAAGGATTACCGATACATTCGTAAGTATGATATAATAACACTCAATGGGCAAGAACGACTTATTCAATCTATAAGTAATAATTCAGAAAATGTACACTATTATGTATCAAATTTTTAATATATAAAAGTTTTCACATTTTTTTAAACTTAACCACATTTATTATTTAAATAGGTTAGGTTAGGTTAGGTACTACCACTCCGTGAAGCGGCTGGAGTCAACAGTGTTATGGGAACTCAAGGATTTCAACGGTGCCACTGCAAAACAAAATGCAAAACAAATAAATGTACTTGTAGATCTAATAACCGGCTTTCTACATCGAAGTGCCATAACAGCTTATCATGCGAGAATAAGTGATACCCATACGTCATAATCAATAATAAACATACAAGTATTAAAATAATAATTATTATGAACAAATTAATTTTTTCTTATATTTTTTTTTCATTGTTTATTCTTAAATAGTAAATATAATATATTATATCTAAAATTATCAATGGCTACATACTTTTAGTCAATAATGAAAATGACTGGTCAATCATAGAAATTATGTATTAATATTAAATTTGTTCTATTATTGTCTATCTTAGTTAGGTATTCTCTAAAATGACTAGCCAATAATATCAATGCCTATGTAAAACAGT